TGGGATTCGAATCGCGACAGTGCAGGATGGAAGCTTGACACGCCTACTACTCGGCTACATTGCCACGAGTACCCTTGAGTCACAGGGCATAAGTGAATTTCAAGGAAGGTCAGGCCTCATATCATATTCTTTTGGTGGGAGTGCCGATAAAGCAAACGTATGTTTGCTACAGCAATCGACTACGTTACTTATATTCGTATGAGAGTAGGATTTCGAGACTACCAGTAAATTAGTGTAATAAGATGTATTCACCCTATTTCGTCTAAGGTGATGAAAGAGTGGTAGTAGAATTTTCCCACAATGATATGAGTTGAGCTGAATTTTCAATGGAAACGTCAGCTCAACTCATATCATTGTGGGAAAATTCTACTTAGAAGAAATAGGATGAATACATCTCATTACACTGATTTACTGGTAGTCTCGAAACCCTACTATCATATCTATATTTTCCACTTTTGTGCGTCCTTGCCCATCCTTACTTTTTCTTTCATAATCTCTGTCCTGTCATCGGCTTTCCTGTTCCGTATGTTGCTTTATGTTAACGTTCTCGGATATTCGTTTTCGAGACAGATTCGAGTCTATTTGTAGAATTCTTCTTTCCATAATTCTATGTCCGTTAATCTGAGGCTTCTGATAATCATCCTCCACATTCTGATCTTCAGTCCGTAATTGGGATGAGACTGAAAATTAAGTATTATTTTGGTATGTGCCTTCTTTCTTAACAATATTATCTTGAGTAACCCACTTTAGTTGATGACATACAGGAAAGGTAACCGCCCCGCCACTACGTTTTCAGTGAGTGTAGTCATCACAAGGAAATAATTAAATCTTTTCGGGGTTTGGCTGTCAGAGGAATAGGGAAAAGGAGAATCACAACCATCACAGGTATTCGACACTATGGCTAGTAGGTCGGAGCCAAATTGCCACCAAAGGTTTGTGGCAGACCACGAGAAGCAACGCGTTGAGGATAACGTATATAACAACTGGAACCGAGTGAAATCCCTCAACCAGTAATTAAGTAATGAGAAACCAATCTCCAGGCCCATGAAGGAGATTCGGATAGGAGGTTCGAGTCGGATCAGCAATTCCAGCAAATCAAGTGTTAGGGGAAACAAGGTGAAAAATAGATGTAATAACGCCCCATCAAACTCGCCTAAGATGGCCCATCCCTAAAGGAGTCGAATATAGACAAGCCAAAAGTGGTGATAGTAAGGGAGTGAGGCAGGGAGTAGGAAGATGTATCAAGACAAAGGAATGACAAAACAACCCTTTTAAATAGTTTTAATACAGAAAAAAGTAGATTTAGCCAGAAAGGCTGTGAATGGCATGTGTTGATAGTTTATACAAGAAGACCACATCAACTATTGAAGCACTGGAATATTTGCTGAGGGGTAGCTTCGATGTTGATTAAATAACCAACGCTGAAAATGTTAACCAAAGGTAAAATAACTAGAAACATCCAGGCAAGTGCTAGAGTTATGTTGAAAGTGCAAACTAGCTGGAGGCCTATTCAGGTAAAACTACGTTTTAACGATGTATAGTTACATCATTTCATAGATTTGTGGGTTTGAAGGATACGTATAAACCGAGTTAATACTTTTGAGATCATAATGCAAATATGCTAGGTACAACTTTATCATTTCTCGACAGACATCCCACGTCACTGTTGCGATTTAACTTGCTTGCTTCTACATCCATTCAACCTTTTGTAACAAGCCCTAGAGATTCGTTTTATCCAACGTGAACCGGATGCATTATTAGTTATATTTGTCATTGAAATTATTGTCCTGAAGAATGCTTTATTTAAAGATATTTTTCACCTGAATTAAAAGTGGTAATCCATATACGATATCAAGTAAACAGAGATATAAAGAAAATAATTCGTAGCCCTGCAAGGTAAGACATTAGTAATAGATGCGAAGAGAAGTTGAGTTTCGAGAAATCTCTTGTTTCATAATTGTTGAGCTCACTTCCATTTTAAGTGAAAGTGTTGGGTAAAGAGATTCAAAGGCCGATTCCACCAGCTGTCGATTGGTTTAACTGGAACATTGATGGTGACACTGTTTTCGAGATAGTCTCCTTCGATTCCGGTCAAAAGGCGCTAAGCTTTCGTTTGTCATATGACGAACGTCACCAGTGCAAGTTATCATCGTGACAACAAGATTTAAGCTAACAAGTCAAGAAAACTCACCTACAAGTCCATAAAAAGTGGTATATATACTCTACATCTGGCCTCTGATCAAGTATAAAGTGACCTTAAATAACCAAATCACTTTATACTTGATCAAAGAGGCCAGATGTAGAGTATATATATCACTTTTTACGGATTTGCCGGTGATTTTTCTTGACCCGTCAGCTTGAATTTTGTGACGATGATACCTTGCTCTGGTGATATTCGTCATATGACGGACGAAAGCTTAGCATCTTTTCACCGGAATCGAAGGAGATTACCTCGGAAAAGGAGTCAACATGAATATTCCAGTAAGGCAAATCGACAGCTGGTCAAGAGGAATCAGCCGTCGTCTTCTGGTGGAACCAACCTTCGAATCTCTTCACCCAACACTTTTACTCGAAATGGAAGTAGGCTCAACAAGTAGTAATAGAGGAAACTCAATATATATGGAGAAAAGGGAGACTATTCACGAGAACAAGAGAATTTATAGAGGATCAACCAAGTATCCGACAGCGAGGATCAAGGGACTGTTGCAAGGCATGCTTAAAGAAGCTAATAGGAACGGGGAAATTGAGAATTTAAGAATGAAATAACTCTTAGGAAATGACGCAACGCCAACAACCGCACATGGACTATCAAAGATAAAGAAAGAGAGGGCGTCATTGACACTAAAAGTCAGCAGCCAATACAGAACAAAGCACAAACTGGCGAAGTTCCTCTGATCCAAAATAAGAGAAGAGGAATGACAGATTATCGATTAGGGTGGATGATTCATGCTATCTCTCTCAAGGGACAGAGAACATAAGACTTGCAAAAAAGTAACCTTTGGTAAGCTTTGATGTAAAAACGTTTACGAGTATTTCAAGAAAGGTGCAAGCGGCACTGTTGGAGAACTTGTAAACAGCTAGGCTGAGCAACATGTACTCTTCGGCATGACATATTTAAATGGTAGGATTTATGAACAGATATTTGATCTTGAATAAGTTTTGAAACCTATTCTAAACATATGTTTAATCTACCTATGGGCTTATTAATCCCTCTCTTCTGGCTAATGCCTACAAAAATAAGTTAAATAAAGAATTAAGGATGTTATAAGTACTGCCGTGATTGAAGCTAGACAACTACTTTGCGACCTCTTTGTATGGTAGTGGAAATTCGGAGACTTTTTTGAGGTTCCTTAATTAGATTGATGAAAAAATGAAGTTCAGAATTGAGGATAGGATACTAAAGTTCCTGAATAAGGATGCATCTCGCTCTAATAAGCACCTTAAGCAGCGATTACTCTCAAATAAATCTCAAGCCGAAATAATTCCCAATTTAAAAAAAAATTAATTAGTAGGTTTTTGAGCATAGGCTTCTTTAAAATTCACTTCAGTCCAGCAACCCAAGGGCTCGTGGCAGTGTGGCGTAGTTATTGAAGTGTCGAGCTTATACTCTGAACTACCGGAGTTCAAGTCCAACTGGGAGTTCTAATGAGATAAATTCGGGCGAGGTCGAAACTGCAGTCCACTCCTGCCTGAAGGAGAATACCTTTTGGGAAGCAAGGATAAGTGAAATTCAATAAAAAAAATTAGGCCTACTGATTAAATTGTGGGAAAACACAATTACCAGTGCTTCATCAATTTAAAAGAGTACAGCTACTAGATAATTCTTCATTTTTTGTCCAAGTATAACTACATACTGAAGATAGAAGTGATAAATGTGATCATAAGGAGCCTAAGGCGCAAACTTTATGGAAGACTTAGAAAAATTAGCTCGTGCGTTACTCGGGAACTTACACAAAGTAACATAGGTTAGTGATGAGCAAACTGAAGCAATTGTAGAGAGTGGAAATGCTGACTGAGATCCAGAAGCCCTGGTGTTGGCATACGAAACCGATGATGAAGATCACTACTTTTCATAGCCTATGTAGACACTAGAACAAACGAAGACACAGAGGGGTTTAAGTAGGTAAATTCGCTTTAGGAAGTTATAGTGATGAGGATACAGTGCTAGGAGCTAAGACAGGAGAGAGAATAGATGCCACAAAGGATGAACAGAAAATTGCCTTACTCTGACGAGTTGTAACTCGATGCTAAGGATTACGCCTTCTATTGACGACAACGGCAAGACATCTAGAAAGGTATCAAGTCATAAGTCCGATGCTGGAAATTATCATCACTACTATGGCAAAGGACTCAGGACTGGATACATTTTACAAAGTCTCTATCAGCCCAACCGAGTTGCGAAAATGAGGGTCAAGCCAACACTATCCGCTAATGGATACTCCAAAAATCAACTTTCCACCAAATAAGCTACCTAAATGATTGTACTATTTTTGTTCGAGAAATTAGCCATACAAAGCACACATCCTCACCTGGCGATTAAAACTAGTGTAGCTGACAGCGCCTGATGGAACGGAAACATAGGCTAAGTGACCGGCCGCGGGAAGCATCTGACAGGGGTCGGAACAGTCTTCCGCGTATATGCGCACCTCAAAAGCATGTCCATGGAGAGGAATTTTCTCTTGGTCCTTGATTGGCAACACTTCTCCAGAGGCCACACGAAGTTGCCATTCTACGAGGTCGAGATTGGTGATGGCTTCCGTGACAGGATGCTCAACCTGGAAAAAAAAGCTTATAATATAGGCTATATGAAATTTTGTATATCAGCTGATCTTAAAATGGACGAATTTCTATTAGAAAGCCAGACGCCGGTCATTCTATTTAGCTATTTTTGGTAGTTTAAAAAGGCTATATCGCATAATTGGAACACTAGATAATTTAGTAAAACCCTAATTCAAGCAAAAAAGGAAAGTTGTTGGCATATATTTCATTTCGTATGTAAAGGCAAGTGGAAGGAATTCTTAGCTTCGCATCCACGGATACTTAAGAAGGGCTGCCTTAGACGTCGGCTCACCGTTCTGCGATCTAATTAATCCGTGCTCAGCTTTCGTCCGTCATTTTACAGATGAAGGCCCAGCACGGATAGATCGAGGTCACAGTACGGTGAGTCAAGGTCTTCTTTGTGTAATCACAAATCTAAGGCAGCCCTGCTTCGGTATCCGGTGAGGAGAATTAAAGAATTGCTTCTCCCCGTTTTTTCAAACGGAATTAATGATATGTGGGCATCAATCTGCCGGCAGAGTCTTCGAAATCCAGCTTCTCTTCATATATTATAAAAATAAAAGGATTAAACATTGATTTATAGTACGATCAAAAAGTTCACAAAGAAACATGTGAAATAAATGGGGGGGGGAAGTTGATACTCAGGAAGACTATTTATAAGCCATGTAACGGCTAAGTATGCAGATGGGAAGGAGACTAAAAATGGAATATGAAAATGGCGCGAGGCAAGTATTTATACAGGAGTAACTGACCAAAATCAAGTTACGACTAAGGAAAATAGAAGCAAACCAAGTGCATGAACGTAAACTAGAGGCTAAATCCCTCTTAATTCTAGTATCCAGCCGGTCAGGAGTGCTCATATCTGGCAATTTCATAGAAAGTCAATATTAGCATGGCCAAAAATAAGTTAGCAAGTAATGCTGAATTATTATGAAAAAATTTGTTAAATAAACCTTTAAATAAGCAGTGCTACTGATAAAATGGAATGAGACGACCAAAAGATTATATACTATCCGAAAATATAAAAATTTTGAAGTGGGTTGACCTCGTTGTCGCAACTTGATCTTGTGTTCAGGGAGGCTATGTAGAACGTACCGAGTCCG